GGAGTGGATGCAAATGGACGGCTTCTGTTTACATGTGTCCCATTCCAACAGATCTGGACGTTGGCTGTTCCGTTCTAAAAAAAAAAAAACAACTGAACAGACGTGGATGTAAACAGATGCCATTCATTTACATCCACTTGTCCATAGAAATGCATTGCCGTCCGTTTTTCATCCGTCTATTGACAGACTGAACGCCCGTGTGTAAAGGGGCCTAACAACAGTTTCGCCTGAAAGTGTGGGAAAATTTGCAACAGAGACATAAACCTGACAGGGGTTCTGTCCTTCTTTACTAATAAACATATTTATTTTTGTGTTGCTGTTGGACATTTTTCCTTACTTCACGTCTGATGAAACCATGGTCACCGAGGCATTGAGGGGAGTGAAAGGAATCTCCCTGTCAGAGCCAGAGAATAGCACTGAAAACCCAACATGAGTTCAAATCTTTCCCCACAGTGTACAAAACTAAAAATAATTTGTCTGGACAAACACTTTCAAAATTCCTTGGACACATTTGCCTGGGTCAAAAGACCAGGACATCGCTACTTTGGTGGCTTCGACCTCCTGTCCTTCAGGAGGGGAAAGATTTCCTTCCATTGCATTGAATAGTGATCACAACGGATTCCAGCCTGTCGGCTTGGGGAGGAGTGCTGGGGGTGAGCTCAGCCCAGGGTTGTTGAACGCTGGAGGAGTCCCAGTTATCAATCAAATGTCCTGGAACTTTGGGAAATGCCATGGAGGTGGCCTATGTCAACAATCAAGGATGAAAACCTACTTCCAGGAAGATATACCATCGTACTTGGAAGGCTTTTATCTCATGGTGTGAGGCTGCGGGTGTTTATCTGCGTTCCTTCTTGGTGGCTAGGATATTGACCTTTCTACAACAGGTCATTGTGAGGAAGTTGCAATAAGTACCATCAATGGCCAGGTTTCTGTTATGGCCATTTTTTTTCAACATCCCCTAGCCACACACTCTCTGAGCCATACTTTCATTCAAGGAGTTCACCATGTGGGGCCTCCAGTGCGCTCCCCATTGCCACTTTGGAATCTGCATCTGGTTCTCTCTGTTCTTCAGTGACCTATTTTTAAGAATATTAGGAAGATTGCCTTGCTTACCCTGTCCCAGAAGATGGCCTTTTTAGTGACTATCACTTCTGCTCGTAGAGTGTCGGAGTTAGCAGCATTGTTTTGCAGATCTTATTTGGGTGTTTCACAAGGACAAGGTGGTTTTCCATCTGTGCCCTTCTTTTCTCCCAAAAGAACAAAGGAATTGAACTACCTTTCTCATGTTCATGTCCTTTGCATCCTAAGGAATTCGCTCTGCACACCTTGGATGTGCTTTGGGCAATTCGGGTGTATCTATCTGCTACCGAGTCCTTTTGGAGGTCGGATTCCCTTGTTGTTATCATGGGCGGGCCGAGGAAGGGTTTGATGGAATCCTCTGTCACCATTTCTAGATGAATTAGCCATACGGTGGTTGAAGCCTATACCATTAAGGGTCAGGTTCCTCCCTTTCCTCTAATGCAGGGGTCCTCAAACTACGGCCCGCGGGCCACATGCGGCCCACCGAGGACATTTATCCGGCCCGCCGGGCAGGGGCGTATCTGCCGCGAGGCAAGGGACTAGGGTTTGGCAGGTCGGGAGAGCTCTGCAGGGCTCGGGCGGGAGGCAGGAGGGCGGGACCAGCAATTCTAGAACAGGGGAAGGTGGGCTCGGCTTATGAACCCGCACCACTCACCTGGCTTCTCTGCAGCCAGCCGGCCATCTATTCTGATCAGTGCATGCAACAGTCACGGCCAGAGGGTGGAGCCTAGAGCTGACCATAAAGAGGGGGAGCAAGATAGGAGACTCCATCGCTGCATGTCGAGTATCACAGCCACGGACCCTAGATGAGTGCAACAGATAATCGATCTCCTCCCTCTCTCTTTCCCCCTCTCTCCCCCCCCCCTCCTCTCTCCCCCCCCCCCCTCCCTCTCTCCCCCCTCTCTCTCCCTCTCCTCTCTCTCTCTCTCTCTCTCTCTCTCTCTTCCTCTCTCTCTCTCCTCTCCTCTCTCTCTCTCTCTCTCTCCCTTCCTCTCTCTTTACATTGTACACAGATCTGACCCAACAAGGTGTCCTGCATTTACCGTATATTTCGCTCCATAAGACACACTTGGGGGGAAATTTCTGTGCGTCTTATGGAGCGGCCGGCCCAGTATTCCTGCCGTTGTATGTCCACAGTCTCTGGTCATCTCATGTACTGTGTCCGCATTTGTTCATAGTTTTTTTTTTTTTTAAACTATAGTCTGGCCCTCCAACGGTCTGAGGGACAGTGAACTGGCCCCCTGTTTAAAAAGTTTGAGGACCCCTGCTCTAATGGCACGCTCTACTTGGGCGCTTAGTGCTTCCTGGGCCTTCCGTCATCAGGCATCTGTGCCTGAAATCTGCAAGACTGGTATCTGGTAGTCTGTGCACACCTTGCCTTGTTTTTTTTCCTCCCACCCCTCACTTGTTGGGCACTGCTTTGGGACGTCCCTACGGTCAAGAATTGAAGACGCTGTGTTCATCAATGAACAAAAGAGAAAACAGGATTTTTTTTCTTACCGTAAAATCCCTTTCTCCAAGTTCACTAATGGACGCAGCACCCACCCCTCTGTGATTTGTTTTTTTTACTCCCTTGTTGGACTACAGATTTCCCTGTATCTTCATAGTATGCACACCTCAGAAAGTTAGGAGTGCACTGAATTTTAAAAGAATTAACCGGCATTTTATTGCACTTGCATCGTTTTCAAGGGATAAACATGAGGACATGTGCATTAACTGCAGTGATGTACATTTTTTTTTTTTTAGCCCTTTCCCATTGGGAGAAAGCAAAAAAAAACTGTACATCACTACAATCCCATTTCTCTTTCAGAGTGAGATGAAATCTCTCCAAAATGAGGGGAAACCCCTTCTTAGACTGGTGTCACCAGACGTGTCACTTTTTTTTTTTTTTAGTGACAATAGTGTGAATCATCATATTCTGTCAAAAAAAGAGAAGGTTTTGAAGCGAAATGTATTAATGGGAAGTGTCTGGCAGGGAAAACCCAACAATGTGGAATAAATCTGCAGTTCTTGGCTACTTCTCAAAGATACTGAGAATAAACATAATTCTTCAAAGTCTGGGGAACTTGCTTAAAGTAGAACTATACACAAAATGTTTTTAAACATTTAGGTGCGTGTGTGTGTGTGTGTGTGTGTGGGGGGGGGGGGGTTATAGCCCCTATCAGTTTATTCATCACTGTTTCATTAGGGAGATTTCCCTTTACTTCCTTTCTCATAGCCAATTAACAGAATCCTTCAGGTCACCAGAACTAGTGTCCCCGTTGGAAGAGCAACAGAGATTATGAATCTCCCTAAGTGGGGTACAGACAGCAATTAAAATGGAAGGAGAACCTATGCCCTCAATGCTCCCCTGTAATCATTAATGTAAGCTAAGGTCCAGCCTTATGTCAGGAATGGACTTGCCAATAATGGTGGGACTCACCTGCCTTGTGGGCTGCAGTACCAGGGCTGGCCAGCGGGTGCTCTCAGCAATCAGACACTAACCCCTGCAATCAGCCAAAAACCTGAAGCTGATTGCAGGGGTTGTATGTAAGGAATGGCCAGGCTCACAGTCAGGGCCTTGGTGTGTGGTTTTCCATGGGCCCCTGTATCTTGTATCCTGTGTTCCTGTTCCTGCCTGACTTGTCGCCGACCTGCCTGATCCTGACCTCTGCTGACTTCTCCTGTTTGATCCCTGGCTTGTGACCCTGACCATTCTCTGCCTGACCCTCTGCACCGTGCTGCCCGTGAGTTACTGAACCCAGCTTGTGACCCCGACCACTCTCCCGCCTGTTCCTGGTACTCCGTTTGCCCGTTTGCTACTGACCCGGCCTGCCTGACGACTCTTGCATTGTATGTATTGTTATCTGTAGGTGGTTTGGTTTGGTTTGTTTGCACTGTGTTTATGTTTAGTTTTGCACTGCGTTTTGTATTGTTAATCTTAATAAATCATATTGTTTATACCATATCTGAAGCCTGCGTTTCCCTGTGTCAGTCCACACACCTCTGGTCATACCCGGAGCCCTGACATTACACCAAGGCCATTCCTGACCAGAAGTGGCTGCACAGGGAAGCCATCTTGGCTTGTTGCTGGGAAGGATGCATCCTGATGAGGTTGTGTATTTGTCGCTGCTGGTCTTTGATGACAGAGAGTATGCTTATCAGATTCTGAAGGAGTATACCCGGGATCAACTGCTAGAATGTATACAGGTCGGTCATGTTCTAGTAGATCAGGGCACAGAGTTCTCTGAGGTGCAACCTTTGATTCAGGTTTGTCCAGAGTTGGCTTCATCTGGTACCCCTGAAAGCAGGAATGACTTTTTGCCACCATTTAGTGCAGACCAGGTAGAGTCCCTGGTATGGTTATTAGAGGATGATGTGGATTGCTTCTTGGAGCATTATGCTGCATGTTCACAACAGGTATTAAGGGATTGTATAAACGCAGTGCAGTCTTTGACCAGACAGGCTTTGTGTAAGCTGAGCTTTGTTCAACCCATACTGCAGACATGGTCAGACTTGTTGCACCCAGCCTCAGTCAGCTTACAACGTCATGCCTCCGCTCAAGGCACTCTTCCTGCATCCCCGACATCACCCCCAGTGACGGCCCAGTATACTCTGCTAACTACCACATATCAGTCCTCTGCTCCCACTCGCTCACCTATCCTGCCTTTAAACCTGTAAAGAAGTCCTCTGTAGCAACTGCTGCCTCCTCTGTTCCATCCTCCAGCTCTTCTGTCTTCAGCTGCTCCATCCGTTTACAAACCTGCGCTTACTTACAGTGCTCCGGTAACTAAAACCAGGAAAAGGAGAAAATTCTTTCCAACCAATACCATCCTGCCAGTATCCAAACCGGTCAGCCTACCATCTGAGAACCCGCCTTCCGTGGTGAAGCCTGGTGCCTCGGCGCCCACAATTCAGCCTGATGTCTCTACCCAGCCTGATGTCTCTACCCAGCCTGATGTCTCTACCCAGCCTGATGAACTGATCCAGTCTGATGATCCTATTATGCCAGGTGATTCGGTGCCTGCTGTCGAGCCAGACGATCCAATGCCTGATGACCCAGTGCCCGCTGTCATGCCTGGTGACCCGATGCCCGCTGTCGTGCCTGATGACTCGATGCCCGCTGTCGAGCCAGACGATCCGATGCCTGATGACCCAGTGCCCGCTGTCATACCTGGTGACCCGATGCCCGCTGTCGAGCCAGACGATCCAATGCCTGATGACCCAGTGCCCGCTTTCATGCCTGGTGACCCGATGCCCGCTGTCGTGCCTGATGACCCGATGCCCACTGTCGAGCCAGATGACCCGATGCCTGATGACCCAGTGCCCGCTGTCGTACCTGGTGACCCGATGCCCGCTGTCGAGCCAGATGACCCGATGCCCGCTGTCGAGCCAGACGATCCAGTACCTGATGACCCGGTGCCCGCTGTCATGCCGGTTGACTCAAAACTAGCTGTCGTGCCTGATTACTCGGGCCCGCGGTCTTGCCAGATGACTCGATGCCCGCGGTCTTGCCAGATGACTCGGTGCCCGCTGTCTTGCCAGATGGCTCGGTGACCGCCGCCCCGCCTGGGGGCCCGGTGCCCACCGCCCCACCTGGGGGCCCGGTGCGCGCCGCCCCGCCTGGTGGCCCGGAGCCTGCCGCTCCGCCTGGTGGCCCGGTGCCTGCTGCCCTGCCTGGTGGCCTGGTGCCTGCTGCTCCGCCTGGTGGCCCGGTGCTCCGCCTGGTGATCTGGTGTCCAGCCCAATGTGCCTCTGCCTGGTGTCAAGCCCGATGTGCCTCTGCCCGGTGTCCATCCCGATGTGCCTCTGCCCGGTGTCCAGCCCAATGTGCCTCTGCCCGGTGTCCAGCCCAATGTGCCTCTGCCCGGTGTCCAGCCCAATGTGCCTCTGCCCGGTGTCCAGCCCAATGTGCCTCTGCCCGGTGTCCAGCCCAATGTGCCTCTGCCCGGTGTCCAGCCCAATGTGCCTCTGCCCGGTGTCCAGCCCAATGTGCCTCTGCCCGGTGTCCAGCCCAATGTGCCTCTGCCCGGTGTCCAGCCCAATGTGCCTCTGCCCGGTGTCCAGCCCAATGTGCCTCTGCCCGTGTCCAGCCCAATGTGCCCGGTCCAGCCCGAATGTGCCTCTGCCCGGTGTCCAGCCCGATGTGCCTCTGTCCGGTGTCCAGCCCAATGTGCCTCTGTCCGGTGCAACGCCCAATGTGCCTCTGTCCGGTGCAACGCCCAATGTGCCAGTCTTTGATATCCCGCCAGTTACCGGACCCGGGCGGTGGAACATTTTGCCCAGCTAGGACTGTTTGGGAGTTCGAGCGTCCTGAGGCCGCTCCTTGAGGGGGGGGGGGGGGTACGGTCAGGAATGGACTTGCCAATAATGGTGGGAGATATTGTTTTATTTTAGAAAAACGCACAACCAACAAACATTTTCTACAAAAGTATAAAAAAAAAAAATAAATAAATAACATAACATCACATTCCATCATGTGCAAACATAACAGTAAACATTTCAAAGCCATACTAGAGTCCTTATGGCTGAAGCAATATGTACGCAAGGCCCTTACAGCCGGAAACAAAGATTTGCATTCACGGCTTTTATGGCCTAGAAAACAAAACGTGGCCTTTATGGCCCAATAAATCTGCATATATGGCCTTTATGGCCTAATAAGAAAGCACTTATGGCCGAATACAATATAGCATATGTAGCCTACATGGCCTATAGTCAAACACTGTACAAAACATCACACAAAACAACATTACTTAGACTGAGGAACATAGATCTTCGGGTCCATGTAGCCTTTCTTCAAAAAAAATCATCTCTGAAAATCTAAGGGAGGGTGGAAGGAGAAAGAAAACAGGATAGTTTACCAACACCCAGAGATCAACAGGCGGCAACTACAGGCCTGGTATTCCTCCACGCCTTTATCCAGACCCCTCGCCGCCACCTGTCTTTCTCAAGACCACAAACTTTCCCCACCTCATCAAGAATGCCGCGCACCACCTCCGGGACAGGAAGGACTTTCTTCCATATGGACACTTGGCACCGTGCATTCCACGTGAAATACCGGACAACTAGGCTAACTAAATAAAGAGTGTCCAAATCAAAATCCCGGCGATCTTGCAATGCTCCATATACCCACTCTGCATAAGACATGCAGTGCAAGAAAGGAACACCCAGAGCACTCCCCACCTCTCTTGTAGACTTCAACATTGAAGGGACACTGAAGCAGGAAGTGGTCCATAGTTTCCACTTCACCCCGACACTCTTCTCTCGGACAACCGCGGTCATCCAGAGAGAGGTACTTCAAGTTTCCCCTCACGAAGAGTCTGCCGTGAAAACCGAGCCAGGCCTGGTCCCTAAACTTGAAGGGAATCCGCTCAGAATTTATTAAGCGTAAGCCCTCCCGCATAATATGGCCCGGGCAATCCCTCAAGGCCAGCGGCGCATGACAAACAACGGACACAATCCTCTCACCCAGGAGCTTCCTAGGGAGGGACTTAATATCCTCCGCCGTCACACGCCACCGCCTAAGTATTTTCAGGCTCGGGGCAACATAAGTCGGGAGCTCACCGTGCTTAACCCTTAGGCTTTTCACTAGCCCACCACTCTCCCAGCAACTCAGAAAAGGCCTAAACCAGTTCCGGAAGAGGCTTACCCATGCAGGAGGTCTCTCTGCCAGCATGTTACCAAAAAATTGCTTCAAAAACACCAGAGAGAAGAAGACTACCGGGTTGACCATACCTAAGCCACCATTCCTCCTGGATAGGTAAGTCACATCTCGCTTCACAAGGTTCAGTCTGCTTCCCCATAACAGCTGGAAAAAGCAACTGTAGATCCTCGTATAAAGAGACTCTGGCAAGATGCAAACTGTGCTGACATACAAAAATATGGGGATCAGGTAAGTTTTGATCAGATCAACCCTTTCCCTCAAGGAGAGCCGCCATCCCTTCCAGCATTTCACCTCGACTTCGGCATTGGTCAGCCTGGCCTCCCAATTCGATTTGCCATAATCGGCCGGGCCAAATTCAATGCCTAATACTTTGACGGACTGCTGAGGCACAGGGAAAGCGTCCGGGAGCACAAAGCCCTCGCCCTCCACACCTAACCAAAGGACTTCAGACTTGTCCTGATTGATCTTGGACCCCGATGCCTCGGAATACTGCTCTATCTCTGAGACAACCACCTGCGCCTCCACAGCCCCAGAGACAAAGACAGAAACGTCATCAGCGTAGGCAATGACCCTCAGGGGTGGCTCACCAGCAACACCCACCGGTACCCCGCACAACGCTCCACAGTCCAGCCTCCTTACGAAGGGGTCGACCGCAAAGACGTAGAGCAGAGGACTCAGCGGGCATCCCTGGCGCACCCCAGAGCCAACCCCAAAGGGCTGCCCAATCCAACCGTTCACCAGCATGAAGCTCTCCGCCTCTCTATACAATGTCTTGAGCCAGCCAATGAACCCCCCCCTCCAGGCCATACCTGTCAAGAAGATGCCAAAGGTACTCATGACTAACCCGATCAAAAGCCTTGGCCTGATCCAATGTCAGCAAATACTTTCCCCAGCCTTCAGCCCTGCACCACTCCAGAACCTCCCGGACAGCTAACACCGCTGTGAAGGTGCTCCTGCCCTGGACCGAGCAGTGCTGCTGACCGGAAAGCAGCGTGTCTGCGACTGACGCCAGGCGCCAGAAAATAATCTTTGCCAGAATCTTTCTATCAACATTGAGAAGACTGATGGGGCGCCATTTCTCAATCATTGAAGGGTCCTTACCCTTTGACAGCAGGATAACAGCAGACTTTCTCATGGAGGGAGTGAACCTTCTTGCAGACAGCAGTTAAATACCTCCGCGAGATGGGGTGCCAAGCTAGTCTGGAAAGATTTATAAAATTCTGCCGTCAAACCATCTGGCCCAGGTGTTTTCTTAATTGCCAGACTGTCTATGGCTTTGGCTACCTCTGCCTCTGTTATCTCGTCCATCAAACTTGGAAGCGGGACGTCACTCCCCAGACCCGGTGTAGAGTCCAGAAAACTTAACATCCTCTCCCGGTCGAGGTGCTTCTTCCTCAGAAGATCTCTATAAAAGGACCTCGAGACCTCCAGAATCCCTGACCTGGATTTTGTCAGGGAACCTGTACTATCTCTCAGGCCTAAGACCGTTTTAATCGCTGCGCTTTGTCTGCAATTCTGGTAAGGGTGGGCGAGTGATATTTCCCGTAATCCCTCTCCAGAACCAAAGAAGCGTGCCGGTCATACTGATGCTTCCTAAGAAGGAGTTTCACCTCCGCAATCGCCCCAGGATCACCACCAACGGAGACGAGGCGGTCAAGTCTCCTCCGCAGCCGCTGGTAGGCAACATATCTATCAAGTTGTACCTTTTTACCTACGGCCCTGAAAACCCACTGGTTCGCTTTTTAGCGAGCTCCCACCACTCCGTCTTACTGCTGCAGAAATCCAGAAGGGTCACCTGAGCCTGGAAAAATTCCTCAAAGGATTGTCTCACACTCTCGTCATACAGCAAGGCCGAATTCATCTTCCAGATGCCCCTTCCTTTCAGCGGCGTATCTGAAACATTCAAGATCACAGATAGCATAAGGTGATCGGAAAACTCAACCGCCCGACACACACAGGTGCCGAGAAGGCAGAGTTCCCCTTTAAAAAAAAACTATCTATCCTGCTCTCACTCCTACCTCGCCTAAAGGTGAAGCCCGTGCTGTCTGGGCTGCACTTAACTAGTGCATCTACCAGACCTGCATCCCTGACTATCGCATTAAGAAAAACGCTATCATAGCCCAACCTGTCAGTGAAGCCTCTCCTGTCTTTGGGCCTAGTGATGGTGTTAAAATCACCTCCAAAGACAACTTGCTGGGCCGTAAAAAGGAAAGGCCTAATCTTTGTGAAAAGGCATTTCCATTCCCACTTGGACTGCGGGCCATATATATTGATTAAACGCAGGTCATGCCCCCTCACAGAGACGTCCAGGACCATGCACCTTCCGATCTCTACCTCAATAATCCACCGGCACGTTACCATACCAGTAAAAAGCACTGCAACCCCACTGTAAGGCTCGGCCGCAAGAGACCAAAAGGAGGGGCCACGCCTCCACTCCCTCTTTGCCAGGTGGATATCGGCAAGGCTATTGAGCCGGGTCTCTTGCAAAAACCAAACATCAGCATCAACCTCGCTGAGCAAAAAAATAAGGCCATGTTACGAGCACTCACAGACTTCAAGCTGGCAACATTAATAGTTGCCACTTTTACTGGGGTGGGAACTGCCATCAGGATAATTAAGATAGGCATTCCTCAGTCTGACTATCTACCACTGGGGCCCCCTGTACTATGGGGGTTGTCCCAGCACTGTTCTCAGCCTCCTCCATCAGATCCACAGAGTCAGATGAAACATCCCCGCGATATGATAGAGACCCAAACTTATTCCCTGAAAGTATGTCATCCTGATCTGAAGAGCACAGAGACTCTGAGGACGCCGAGGAAAGCACAACCCTATTTTTCCTCTTCTTCCCTCCGACCAGGACCCACTCCCCCCCCCCCATCCCCAATAGGGGAAATCACCACACTCTCTGATGAAGCTTGGGAAGAGCCTTCCCCCTCAACCGTCCCCCTCAACCGCCCTCCTCCTGCACATACCCCCACCTCTTCTTCCCACAGCCCTAGCACCCCTGCCTGAGACCACAGGACACCCAGGCTTAGGGACCTTCAGCGAAACCTTCACACAGCCCTCCACCCCACGGGCTGCTTCTGCCAAAACGGAACTCTTAATAGGTTCAATACACACACGAGGGTTTAACACAGACACAAGCGGATGGGTAGACTTGACCACAGGCTGCACAGCCGACAAAACTGACAAGGAAGGGACAGGGGGGTTCACAGACACAGAGACCGGCACACCAGACAGAACTGACACAGAAGGTTTAGAGACACAAGGTGACCCAGACTCAGGGACAGACAATGGATCTAGAACAGGGGAGCTAACTAAGGACGGAACTGGGGGGGCCAGCTGACCTGAGGGAGGAACTGCCGCCGGGAGCGCAGAGTCCTCGGCATCCATCCTGAGGAGCTCCTCCGCAAGCTCCCCCTGATTATGGAGGGCCTCTGGGCACAAGCTGTAAGGGTGCCCCAATACATTACAAAGATTGCAACGAATTATGTTGCAACTCCCGGCCTGGTGGCCCAGACCCTGACACAGAACACCTCTGTTTTGGGCAGGAAGAGGAAAAATGGCCCTTATCACCACATCTGTGGCACAATTTGGGTTGCCCCTGATAAAAGACCACAATTCGATCTCTCCCAATAAACGCAGATGAGGGCATATGCTGTACAACATTATCAAAGACCCTGAGCTTAACCTGGGCAGTCCATCCACCTGTCCATATACCTTTGTCATCAAGCACTTTGCTTAGGGACCCCAGCACCTCACCATACCTCCTCAGCCACACAATGAGGTCCACTGGGGGAATGGACTCATTCCGTACCAAAATAGTTATGTTCTTTATTAATAGTTGTCTAGACACCACTCTAGGGGACAAACCCTCCCACTCCTTGGAAGACTTGCAGGACCTATCATACCTCTCCCAGAAGAGGTCCAAGCTTTCTGGCTTGAGAAATGACAGATCATACTCATTAGACCCAACAGGATTAATCAGGGCAAAGATTTCAGCAACCCTGAAGCCCATGCCCAGGATCTTATCAGCCACAGATCCTCTAGAAGGCGGGGTGCCTCCCCCCACCCACCTCAACTGAACGACATTCCTCCGTGCGAAAGATCCACCCCCAATTGGCCGGGCACCCGACTGAGACACTTGCGGGGGGGCCCCTCCCCCTGAGCTGCCAAGCATAGCAGCGTAGCTAATTTTGGGCTGCCCACCTCCTGATACTGCCTCAGCAAAGGAAACCCTGCCGGCAAAAGACCCCCCGGGGGGGGGGGCGCGCTCTTCACTACCCCCATGGCCGCTGCAGCAGTTCCAGTAAACACCGATAAGCCCTCGGCCTGCTCGGCAACAGCGAGACCTGCACCCGACACCACGGCAGGCTCCACCCCCCCCCCCCGCACTCCCTCCCTCCCGCCGGCACGGGGAGACCAGACACGGGCACAGACAGCGCACTATCAGCGGCCCGGAGGGGACCGGCTGCTCCCACTCCCATAGATGACACAGTAGCACATACAGGTTTACTCACACCAGCTAAGCAAAATGGTAGTGTGACAAGAACACCCCTACCTGGAAAAAGAAGGTTACTAGGTGATCCACGCGGAGTAATATGAATTCAAAAATATTCCAAACAATACTTTATTTGATCACATAGATCATAAGGAGGTTAAACATGAGCACGGTGTACATATGAAAAAAGTAAATAAAATCATGTTAAAAAGCACTAGGCGTCTTCAGTTTCGGGTCATCTTAGCAAATAGAGTACCATAAGGCAGAGTTATATAGTGGTGATATAGTTATCCTGGGTTTCCATAGGTTTTCGTCTTGTATTCAAATGAACCATGTATTCAGCAAATGTGTTCCCAATATATGTCAGGTATCTCCTGGTATGAAAAAGCTGGAACACAGAAGTACATAGTATATATATAGAAGTATGAAAACCAAAAAACCAAAACACATCCAAAATTCACCAAGCCTCCCTCTGCAGTAGTCAATGGATACTACTATTACCTTCTCAATAGTGAGATTAACAGGCCAACTTCTCAAATGTAGGGACTTCCTGGATAGCCACCCCAAGTGAAACAGGGTCCACAGTACCAAATGATTCTGAGGATATATATATAAAAAAATAGTGATACATATAAAAATCATGGGCATCAGGTCACCCTGAAAACAAGACACACATAGAGTGGGTATATTACCATAAATGAAGATCAAGAAGACTTCTGTCGACTTGAAATAGGATCAGGTCCTTGATGCTTTTCCAAGATACATGTGGGGGTGGGGAGCCAGGTAGTCACAATACATGGATTCCAAACACATCAACTGTGTATATAGCATATAACAGGCCATGCAGGCCTGAGTTTTTATACCCAATAAAGGGTTTCCAAAAATTACTCAAAATGAGAAGATTATTGCTCCATATACTATGTGTATAGCATGTAACAGGCTATACAGGCCTGAGTATTTATACCCAATAAAGGGTTTCCAAAAATTACTCAAAATGAGAGGGTTATTGCGGTTTCATGAGGATATGGCTATGTCACAGCACAACACCTGGATAGGGTAGCGTATATATATATATATGTAGATCGTCCTCAAAAGAGGATTTACAAAGAATTCCCCGAATATACAGGGTAAATTAGGCCCATATAGCATGCCCTTTTAATACCATAAATGCTCTATAGATCTCAACAGCCGTAAGCTGAAATAACTTGCCACCGGTGGAAGATAAATTTCCATGAAAGATTGCCGTTTGCGAACCGCTGCAATAGTAGCCTTATGGTAGTTTTCAGAGGGTCAAGGGCCTTCCTAACAGAGAGCTGTGACACCGCCGTTCCTTCCC